AAAACACCACGCTTTTACTGATTAAATATTACAGAATGAAAATAATTTTTTTAATTATTGTTTTAGAAAAATGATAAATTGAAAGCAATATTTGTCAAAAAAGCAATTTTTTTATTTTAATGTAACTCGTAAACATTAACAACTAAGCTTGAATTTCATTTCACGGTAGGGCCTGAAGCGTCACAAAGGGCCCGTAGCGCCCGCAGCCGTGGGAAAGGGAACGTGGGGCTAAAGTTATTATGATCCAACCTAGCTAACACAAAACGTTCAAATACGTTTGACGAACGTTGCGAACATTCAAGCACATTCTTAAACGTTTGCAACGTTCGTTGAAAGTTTTGTGTTAGCTGGGAAGCCAACTTTTTTTAGAAAAAATTTGTTTTAGATGTCACTTTAAAAAACAATATGCATGTTCATAAACGTAGCAACATTAACAATTTGTACTGTTGTTATATAGCTAAGAGCTACAAACTCTTTTTCAGACTAAAAATAATATCTGATTAATTAATAAAGAATCATAAATTAATAATTAATTAATCAAGAATAAAGAATTTTTTTTAACTTTAATAACAATCTTGACTCTTACTTCAAATAGTGAGCAACCTTATATTTAACTACATCTAATAAATTGAAACAAACTGCATAAATTCATAAAAAATACTATAATATACAGTTCTTTTAAGAGGAGAGTATAATTTTTTTTAAAAGGCAAGTTCGTCGTAATGTTTTAAAGCAAAGTGCAATAATAAAGCTATTGTATACAATATATTTACTATTTTTTACAATATATTTACGATTTATTATTTACTTTTTTTTTTTTTTTTTAAAAGTTATTGTTTTACTATAGTAAAACAATAAGTCGCTCTTAAAAAAAATTGCCAAGACGGACGTCGAGGTGGCGGTGTAGCTATCTACCTTACTGACGTATTTAAGTCTCATGAAGTTATTTAGTTCTATACAAATCTTCTCGAACAAGTTTCGGTATTTGTAAAAGTTAACGATAAACATATACTTATTGGGTACACAGACCAAATGATTTTAATTTAATAAAGTACCTCACTAAATCTTTCAAATTAGCTCATACCTTAATTAGGAAGGCCTAATTAACTGCTTGATTGTTGGTGATTTTAAATTCCCCAAAAAGTGGAACTTTTTCTAATAATGCTATTAATTGTTTTAACCCAAACGGCATACCGAGTATGTTTCTGGAATCTTTACCAAAACAGTTTCTTTACACAATATATCATACTTTCTACCATTAGACATCCTATGGTTCCTCAAATAATGCGTTAGATTTGTTACTTACTTACAAAAATAATTCTTTTTTAAACTTGTCTCCTAATGCTATACTAGGTAATAACACTAAAGGTCATTTTAGTATCACTTCGAGAGTTTAAGTTTCAAAATCGTTTCCCAAAAGTTATTCTCAATTTATTAGTTTCAACAAAGGTGGTTACAATTCAATATCAAAATTTATTTCATCAATCAACATGGATCTTTCATTTCTAATAAAACAACGGATCAAATATTAATTTCTAACAATTGTACTATTTACAAAAATTTTATCCCCTAGATTAATAAAACAAAAAAAAGTACGATCCTTGGCTTTATTTCCCATATTAAAAACCTAATCTGAGCAAAAAACTCGCTTGGTATATCAAATGCTCAAATAAATAGAAGAATAATGAGCTTTTAAATAAATTGAAATTGTTTTAAAATTCAAAGCAAAAAATAATAATATTAAAATCTCAAAACAACAAACTCGTTCACAAATATATTAACAAATAACTAAAAACTTAGATAAAGCCTTTTTTCTCTCAAAAATACTTTAGGGAGAGTTATTAAAGCTCTCCCTAATAAATTTGATCTTCTGAACTCTCAATTCAAATCTCTGTTTACTCTTTAAAGCTCTGTTTTTCAATTTTCAATAGTTGAACAAATTAGGTTAATTGATACAGTCCATCTCAGTTTCGCCGAAGCATTTGATTCTGTACCTCAAAACAAACTTGTTTCCTTACAAAAAAAAAAGAAGACATTCACTTTCATTGATAAAAATATTTCTTCTAAGTTGTATAAAGTGTTTATAAGACCACACCTTAAATAATAGGCAGTGTTTATTTGGGCATCTAATACTAAAACTGATACAACCTTGCTTGAATCTGTTCAACGCCTTGCAACAAAATGGGGTTTCCCGCTTGAAAAAATAACTTCATTAGACAAAAACTTTGCTTACACGACACAAAGCACAAAGAAAACTTCATTTTTGTCATTATGATCAGGTTAAAACAAAAATTGCACAAGGAATAAACAAACACAGTCGGAAACCACTCAACGAGGTTCAGAAATGTTTAGATTTTCTAGATTTACAATTTGACTGTGAACCACTCTTCGAAGTAGGCCCCAAATGTAGTCCTTCGTCATGTTTTCATAATACTACCTTGGTAACGACATTCAAAATTGAATATATCTTGATGAAAGCGCTTGCCTTGCTTTTTGGAGTAAGTGCACATGTTCTCTTAGAATTTGTCAAGATACGAATTAAGGATATGGACCTTCAGAGACATTCTGCATCCCATTTTAGCGTAACTCTTTATGAGAGTCTGCATCAACTTCACATAGTTTTCTTCTTTGTGATTACCTATGAAGCCCTGAACAACTGCAACGAAGCTGCTTCAAGCCTCTCTCTCCTTCCTGTTCAACAGCTTTGCGAAATCCTTACATTCTATTATCTTCTTGATCTGTGGTTCAACAAATATACCAGCCTTGACTTTAGCCTCAAACTGCTTTAGACAAAGATCTCTGAGGTATTGCAATGCTGCTTGCTTCTTGTCAAGAGCAGTGACAAACTGCTTAATGTGGCCTAACTTGAAGTGCAGCAATGGTGTAAGTACTTTATAAGGTTCTATCAGCGGTTCCCACTTTACTGCTTCTCTTTAAAAAACTCGGTCCATTGTAGTCAGTCCTGAGCGCTATATTGCCTCTTAGCGTCACGGCTGTCCCAGATACAGAGACAACAAGGAAATTTTGTGAAATTTCCTTGAAGAACCATGAGGAATGATATCATTTTGAAGTCACCGATGACCTCCCATCCGTAGTCTTTATACTTTAATGTACTCAGCAACATTTTAACACTGGTGTAGTACTCTTTGAGATGCGCAGAGTAGACCATCAGAAGAGACGGGTAGTTATTTCCATTGTAAAGCAACACAGCATTGAGGCTTTGGAAGAAACTGCCTGTGCCATTCAATAAAATTATTTGCAATACCTGTAGTCTGGAATAGACCGGCAACATTGTTTGAGCCTGATATCCACAAACTGATATCCAGGCTCAAACAGTTCCACTGTTTGAGCCTGGATATCAGAAGCTCAGCATTCGATTTTGAAAGCCCGAGGTCCCTAAATTAATCCTTCACGTCTTTCTGATTAGTAAAGTACGGCTTTCTACCTCCAACTTCTTCTGCGGAATTGTAGTCATATCTCCAATATCTGCCTCGCTCTCTGACTTGCTACTGTCTCCTAAAGATGACCAATTCCGCCCAGTAGGAATCAGAAAAGGCAGATTGGGGTTGTGTGCTACTGGGATGATGGAAGAAAGTATGTCTGGATAAACATTCTGAGGGGAATTTTTGCCGATGCGATAATTTTTTGGGTTTATCTTGCAGAAGTCGCTGTTGCTTGAATGGTACGTCGGCTTTCGCCAAATCTGTGGGATAGTAAACTTCATTGCTTGCTTCTCTCATCTGTACAAACCTGTAACATAGCACATAATAATACATAAGAATTATAATAATTTGAAAATTTCAAAACATGGAACCATTTCAAGATGGAACTAAAAAAATCGTCTAAGAAAAAAAAAAAAAAAACTATACAATAAATATTTAAAAAATAGAAGCGAAAAAAATCTTACTGTTTATAGGTATTTGCCTACAGTACACAACTTGACAAACCTTTGTAAAATAAAACTTCTTGAAATAAACTCCCAGTCATGAATTTGATATCATATTAATATCATAATGATATTCCAGTCAGGAATTTGATATCGAATTGATATCATAATGATATCAAACTATGATATATATGATATCATGATATGAAACGTTTATGATATCAATATGATATCAAAATGAAATTACTCATTGATATCATTCTGAACTCAGGACCTGATATAATAAAATGAGAAGTTTATGATAACAATATGATATCAAAATGAAATCACGCATTGATATCATTCTAAACTCAAAACTTGATATCAAAATATAAGAAGTTTATGCAAAACTTGTTATCATAATATTTCCGCCATAATTATTTTATTTAATTATATTTTAATAAAAAAAATATTTTATTATGATTTAAACAAATTATATTTTTATAAACAACATTTTAAAATTATTTTTAAAAAATTTCTATTTGTTTAGTAAAGTTAAATTACTTCGTATAAATAAACATTTTTGGTGAAATTGATAGATGTCATATTATATATTTTAAATATAAATTCAATATTATATTGCATAACTCTTCAAAAAAAAGTTAATATAATTATTAAGAGTTTTATGTGAAAAAAAAAATAGATATAAATAAATAATAGATAGTAAATACTAAGGTAAACCCATAACAAAAAGAAATACAGAAAAGGTCACAAATTTGAAGATTGGTCTTTGACATATATATTCAGAAAAATAGAGATATAGGCTTGGCTGTAGCATCGCTTTAACTTTACAATTGAGTTTTTGACAAATATACAGACTTGATCTAAGTCACTTTTTGAATGTTGCATTCTACTTCTTTTCCCAATAAAATTTAGATTTATTTATCGCCTGAAAATAATGGTGCGAGCTGAAAATAATAAACAAAAAATTAGCCACCAAAAAAAAAAAGTAAATTATTGCCTTAATATTAAAAAATTAAAATGCTTTTTACCTTATATTCTAAGTATAACACCAATAAATTTGTCTTATACCTAGTTATGTAAATTTTTCTGATAAGAGTTAAATATTGCACAAAATAATATCACACAAGCTTCATTGCTTTGCAATTCAAATTGCAATTTTAAACCTAGAAAATCTACGGAAAAAAAATAACATTGACATTATCTCAGACTTTTACAAAAGCATTGAAGAATGTTGCAAAATTTGTTCAGTTTGTAAAAGTATACAGTAAAAGTTTAAACACATTTATAAAACTAGGCCTACCTTAGTAGTATTTAAAAAACACATTCATAAAACTAGGCCTACCTTAGTAGTATTTAAAAAACACATTCATAAAACTAGGCCTACCTTAGTAGTATTTAAAAAACACATTCATAAAACTAGGCCTACCTTAGTAGTATTTAAAAAACACATTCATAAAACTAGGCCTACTATAGTAGTATTTAAAAAACACATTCATAAAACTAGGCCTACCTTAGTAGTATTTAAAAAACACATTCATAAAACTAGGCCTACCTTAGTAGTCTTTAAAAAACACATTCATAAAACTAGGCCTACCTTAGTAGTATTTAAAAAACACATTCATAAAACTAGGCCTACCTTAGTAGTCTTTAAAAAACACATTCATAAAACTAGGCCTACCTTAGTAGTATTTAAAAAACACATTCATAAAACTAGGCCTACCTTAGTAGTATTTAAAAAACACATTCATAAAACTAGGCCTACCTTAGTAGTATTTAAAAAACACATTCATAAAACTAGGCCTACCTTAGTAGTATTTAAAAAACACATTCATAAAACTAGGCCTACCTTAGTAGTATTTAAAAAACACATTCATAAAACTAGGCCTACCTTAGTAGTATTTAAAAAACAAATTCATAAAACTAGGCCTACCTTAGTAGTCTTTAAAAAACACATTCATAAAACTAGGCCTACCTTAGTAGTATCTAAAAAACACATTCATAAAACTAGGCCTACCTTAGTAGTATTTAAAAAACACATTCATAAAACTAGGCCTACCTTATTAGTATTTAAAAAACACATTCATAAAACTAGACCTACCTTAGTAGTATTTAAAAAACACATTCATAAAACTAGGTCTACCTTAGTAGTATTTAAAAAACACATTCATAAAACTAGGCCTACCTTAGTAGTATTTAAAAAACACTAATAAGCAGTCCCCAAAAGATTCTAAAAGATGTTAAATAATTCAACTTCCTTCAATTTTTAACTACAACATGATTTCTTTTGAAAGAAAAATACTCAAAAGTAGAGGAGGAATTTTAGTGTATATTCGAAATGATTTTGAAGAAAAAATTAGAAACTACTTCTCATTCTCCGATGCCGACAATGAGGCCCTCACAATAAAAATAATCAATAAAAATTAAATAACATTTTAGTAACTACTTGTTACAGGTCACCTAATAGCAATATTATCAAATTTTCTAACTATTTGAATCAGATCTTTATAAAAAATAACAATGAAAAAAATATATATATATATTTTGCATAGGAGACTTGAATATAGACTGTTTAAAATACAACGAAAACACCAACATTAAAATCTTCTTTGACAATTTATTTCAGCTCAGTATATTCTCATTAATCAACAAACCCACCCGAGTCACCTCAACCTCAATTACAGCCATAGATAATATACTGACTAACTTATTTTTAGACATATCCTTAAAGTGGTAGATCCCCATTCAAACTATTTTTTTTTAAATGTACTGTAGAAAGTTTTTTACTATTTAAATAATTTTTTTATATTGAAAAAACTATAACAAAAAAAATTAAAATTAATTAAAAAAAATTGATATGACATTATTAATTGGGGTAAAAAGGCAAAAAAGGACCCTATGATGGTACAAAGATAACTCTATAATGCATAGTCCAATTGGTATCAAATTTTGCACGTAGCATTTGTACGTGGGTGTTAACAAAATGTACCAAAATGGAAAAAAGAAAAATTTTATTTAGATATTTATGGTATTTATGTAAAGTGTATCAATTTTATGATAAAAAAATAGACCTAACTTTCTTTGCTGATTCTGGTACATTTTGTTGACACTAGTGTATTAAACATATTGTGAAAAATTCAAGTCAATTGGACTAGTAAAACTTGAGATATCTTTGAATTAAAATTTAAATTCGGAGAAAACGACTGTTTAAAATTTTGTATAAAAATAATGATAACCTTGCCTAAAACAAAACTAATAAGTTCCAGGTGCATTACGTAATGTAAACAAAAAGTATTTAAGCAATTAGAAGGATAAAAAGAAACAATAAGATATCTAAGGAAAAGAAGAGAAGCTTGAATAGCAGAAATTTTTTTTTTTTTAATTTTTTTACGAAAAAGTTTGACTATTTTTTTATATTAACACAAAAATGGCTAAGTTGAGTTTTTTACAATAAAAATTAATTATTTTAGAAGTAAAATTCAAGTTCTTTGATAAATTTTTTATATGCACCAATAAAAAATTATATTTTTAAGAAAATGTCAAAAAAAAAGGGGATCTACCACCTTAAAAACAGGAATATTTAAAATTGATATCAGACCACTTTTTAATATTCTTCTCACTTACACAAACCTCAGCGTCATTAAATAATTCAAAAATGAAAACATTTAAAAGAAAAATTAACGAATCTTCCGCCCACTATTTTAAAGAAACCCTATCAAAAACAAATTGGTCAAATGTTTATCTACAATGCGACCGAGGACTTACAAATTATACTTATTGATGCTTTCCTTGAGCATTACAACAAACACTTTCCACTTATTGAAAAAGAAATAAAAGTTAAATATTTGAGATGTCCATGGATAACAAGCGGAATAAAAAAATTGTCTAAGAAAAAACAAAAACTATACAATAGATATATAAAAAATAGAAACGAAAAAAATCTTACTGTTCATAAACAATAGAAAAACTTTTTTGAAAAAATTAAAAAGAAATCTAAAAAAATGTATTTTTCTAAAAAATTACAAAAGCACAATGGTAGTATTAAAAAAACATGGGAAATTATGAACGAAGTTATCGGAAAAAACAAAATTAAGCCCGAAATATTTCCCTCCAGAACTGAGGAAGTTGGATTAACTATTTTACTGACCATTCTAGTTCATTCTCTGAGAGCGACCTAAGTCCTAATGCAACCTTAGTCCTAATGGACAACATTAGATCATCTTTTAATAAAGGAAAATTTGTATTGGGAGTTTTTATTGATCTTACAAAAGCTTTCAATACTGTCAACCATAAAATTTTGCTCGACAAAGTGAGAAAGTACGGTATAAAAAACCAAACTATTAAATGGTTCACCAATTATTTAAATAACAGACAACAATGTGTTATAATTGACGGTATCACTAATACAAAGTTATTAAAAATAAAATGGGTTTCCCCCAGGGATCTATTCTTGCACCTTTATTATTTCTTATCTACATTAAAGATCTCCCTAAAGCCTCTACAAATCTCGATTGCATAATGTTTGCAGATGATACCTATCTGTTTTACTCATCTACCTCTATCAATGATCTTTTTGATAAAGTCAACATTGAACTTCAAAAACTTAAAACATGGTTCACTTCTAACATGTTATCAGTAAACGCACAAAAAACTAACCAATAGCTTTTATCGAGCATTTGATAGAAGTGGAGACGTTAAGGCTACCACTTTTTACATTTCTAAAGCTTTTGATAAAGTTTAGCATGCTGGCCTTTTTCATAAGCTTTCTTCTTACGGTGTATCAGATAACATCTTTAAGATTATTCAATCCTTCTTTACCATTCGTAGTATAAAAGTTGTCCTCGGTGGACACTACTCTTCTTCATATCCTGTAACTTCAGTGTTTCCTCAAATTTCCATCCTTGGTCGTATACTTTTTTAAATTTATATTAACAATCTTCCAGATATTCTCTCATCTAATGTGGCATTGTTCGCTAATAATACTACCCTTTATTCTTGTCTTGATAAGAAGCCAATACTCTCTGGTTGCTTGGAGGGGGCTTGAAAAAGATCTCACTTCTGCTACAGCATGGGGCTAACAGTTGCTGGTGAACTTTAATTCAGATAAAACCCAATTTTTTTTAGCAAAACGTTATCGCAATAATTTACATTTTTCTTTATTTATGAACGGTAATGTACTTGATGAGTCATGTATTACACACTATTTAACTCCGGATCTTATTCTTTATCTCTATAAATCTCAAATTCCTTGTATAGAATACTGCTGCCATATCTTTGGCAGATCTTTCAATGATGCCCTTTCATTTTAGACAAGATGCAAAAATGCATTGTAAGTATAGTTGGACCTGGTCTTGCAGCCAACCATTATCACATAGTCGTAATGTTGCTTCTCTTTTTTCTTTTCTACTACAATGGGTACTTTTCTTACTATAATGGGCACTGCTCTATAGAGCTAGCGTGTCTTGTGCTACAACTAAAATTCATTCTCGTGTTACTTGTCATTCAATTAAATCTCATCCTTTACTGTCACTGTTCCTTATTGCTCCAAAAACTCTTATTAACCTAGTTGTTTTCCCCCGAACATCAGTTCTTTGGAATTTGCTTCCTTTGTCTTGCTTTCTAGATTCAATCCTCTAAGTTCAAAAGATTGTTAAAATTTGTTTAACTGCAGTGCAAAGCATTGTGAGACGATTTAAGGACACTGGTACAACCAAAAGGAAATCAGGAAGTGGAAGAAAAAAAGTCTTTGTTCGACAAGATCTTTTTAAAAACATGCATGTTAAACATGCAATAGACAGAAATCCTGGAATTTAAAACAAGTGCTTCGTCTGAGTTTAAGTTTGAGTTTATTTATTTCAGAAATCAATTATATAATACATTTAGATATTTTTATGAGGAAGTGCTACACCAGGCACTTGCTCATAAAAATGGAAGTGCTACACCATGCTGAAAGAAGACGCTCGTGTGTCCAATCATCTATTACGAATTTCAATTTATGAACAATAACCTTGAACAAGTTTACTGATTCAGCTCTTATGGCGTCTAAAGTTAGCGTATTCCAAACATTCACAATGCGATTAGTGAAGAAATTAAATCTTTCTTGACAGTCTTTTA